TTTCAAAGCAGATGGCATCATATATTCTAGTAATTGTAATGCTTACTTTATTTCCATTTTTATAGAAACGTATATACATTACATAGGAGAGATTAAGCTTTAGAGAATCAGTGTATTATTCCTTTATTAATTATTAAATTTTTCTTTCTATTGCATTTTCCATTAATATGAAAACAAAATAGAAAATATTAAAAACATCTTCCAAAAAAAATTTACATCCAAATTATACGTCGTACAAAAGAAAAAAAAAATCAAAGTTATGTAGTCACCTAAAATTGTGTACCTACTAGCATGAATGCCAAGACGTTCATAAGAAATACGGCCAATCTTTTGAAAGCTGTCATGTGTGAAGTACAGACATCTACTACGGAATGCAATGAACCTTATCGTCTGATTTTTATGAGTCAGTCATAATTTTTTCCAAAAGTAATAATATTATGATTTTAGCACATAGTTTATCTGTTAACGATTAAGAAGTTCTATCTCCAGCTTGCGTAGATTAACTTGCGTAGATCAGCTTGCGTAGATCTTTTTTGCGTTCATCTCCAGCTGTAGTCGACGGCGTTTAAATTAAATTATCTAGTGCACTAGATCTTCAGAAGTACGAATAGTTCCTCGCACTTCATTTTTTTCTTCTATTAGTTCACACACTCGCTATATATATCTTGTTCAAATTTTCAATCGTTCATAAAATACTTTTTATTCCTCCACTCAAGTTCAATTACATTTTTTTTTAACTTGTAGTGGATGACACTGGATGTTAATACAGTTTTTTCAAATATTAATTCAGTAATTTTAGTTTTATATGGGAGAAAAAAGTTTCTCTTATATAAGATATTTAGCAGGATATAAAATTAGGAATAAAAACCGTCAATGGCGAAGCGTGTAGATCGCTGGAAAAAAAAATTTCTTTTTTTCATTCTGGGTTCTAGTCTGAGTCAAGGAGGGAACAAAATGGAAAATGAAACATGTGAATAAATTAATGAGAGAGTTGAGAGAGAGAATTTTTCCTAACTTAAAAAAAATGAATGAAAATTATTTATAAATGACATTCTGCAATATAGTGAAAAAAAATTAGGAATTGACTTAAAATTTTTTTTTATATTACTTGTTTACATTTAATTTAAAATACAGAGACACAAAGATTTCATAAGCGTTACAAAACATAGAAGGAATTTGTTGAAAATGCTAGAAAACATGGCGACATACAAGAGCTATGACAAGAACGACTTTCAATAAACAATGACTTAGTGGTTACAACATCGAAAAATCATATGCAACTCATTGTATTCTAGGTGACATTGGATAAACATAACTTTAATTAAAAGTGTATGAATAAAAAAGCAAGAAAAATTTTAAAGTATATAAAAATGTGATATTTGCATTCCATGGATTTGTTTGCCTTTTTTCATGTTAATAAAGAAAATTATAGTAAAATAATTAATTTAATGATCTACTTGTAAAAGAGAACATTCTTATTGGATTCATTTTATTTTAACATAAGGAATTATATAAACATTTGATATTTATCATGTTTAAAGGTAAAAATAAAATTTCTTCAGAATTTTCAGTAATATTCTTAGAGAACATTCTTGTGATAATATTCTTATTTTGATACAAATAATTATTTGATGAACTTCAGCAAATACGAAATAATAATTGCTTAAAAAAGTTTTCAATGATTTTTAGAGAAAAAAAAATAATTTAAATGTTTCCATTAAGTAGAATAGAAAAGCTATTTAAGTACGCGTGATTACTTCATATTAAACTTTGTTTAACTTTAATCATTTATTTTTGGGCATCGTCAACGGACTCCTAACTGTACCGAAAGCTTTAGCTTTTTCGATCTCCTGCTTTAATTGTTCTCAAACAGGAGGTGTTTTTCTTAACTTTAATCCCTTTATTTTCCTTTTTCATTATTATTCATAAATTTTAAGCAACCCCATTTTGTGCTAATGTTTAAATTAAATTAAGACGTGGAGGTATTGTGGCTCTTAAAGCCACCTAGGAACTCCGTAATCGGTACGCCCGTTGCCCGTTGCCCCTACAATAGGAAATTAAAATTCCATTTTGAATAAAAGTATAGAATATGCGCGAAACACGCGCAGTGGACAATTCCAAGCATAACTATTTTCGGTATTTAAAAGAATAGAAGATGGCTTTGGACTATCAGATTATAGCGTGAAAGGAATATATGTTAAATTAAATCTGCCCACTTACCATTTTTCTTTAATCTTAGAATTTCCTCGCAAGTGAAAAGAATTGGTGTTTTTCTTAGAATTTCAATCTTTCGATTTTTTAAGGCATACCTCGTTTTTGTAAACATTAATAAAATTTCCATCTGTAAATATTACAAGATTCGGCGTTGTTCAGTACAATAGGCCATTTTTTTTCAATTCCTACTATTAGTTCACACACTCGCTATATATATCTTGTTCAAATTTTCAATCGTTAATAAAATACTTTTATTCATCCACTCAAGTTCAAATACATTTTTTTTGAACTTATAGTGGATGACACTTGATATTAATACAGTTTTTTCAAATATTAATTCAGTAATTAAATTTAATTAATTAATTTTAGTTTTTTTTTTTTTTAGATTTAAGTTGTATGTATCTACCAATAGATGGCGCCGAATGCAAGAGAAAATTTTAAACTTTTTTTTATAAAGGACTTTCTGCAATATAGTGGGGAAAAAAAATAGGAATTGCTTTCAAAATTTTTTTGTTATATTACTTGTTTTTTGCTTAGTTTTGTCATTTTCCATCAATACAAGATCTGCTGAAGGAATAAATTCTATTTTGGATAATTCCACTCGCCATGACAATTGATGTGCTGGTTATACAAACCAGTAGCAAACACCTTTACTATGTACAAAAAAATCCTCTACCTAATGGTTATTTTGAATATCCAATAGATGCGTACGATTCGGATTCAGGCACAGGATTCAGATTTAAAATTTGGGATTCAGGCTCAGTTGGAAAAAGATATTGAATCGATTTAACAGAGAAGCAAAAAAATCAGAAAGTAAGGATATTTTCTGGAATAATGAATCTACTTCATCAATCTAATATCAAATAAGCCCCCCTTTCCAAACAAGATAACGAGTTATATTCTCTCTGAAACCAGCCATTGTAGCATTTTTGTTCTCACGGGAAGAGTTTGGGAATTTCATTTTCAGGAGAAAGGAATGTATATTATTTGGCAAGTATATAATAACAACCCATCACTCAAATTTGAGAGCAGACAAGCCGTATTGTGGATAGTTATATTACATGTAATTAGTGTTTGAGTAATGAGAACAACCTGTCACTCAAATCTGATAGCACATATTCGGTGTATAATGAGACTCAGGAAATTAGCGACGTCTGTGCGACCTTCACAGGTCGAAACACTTACAAATGGAATATGGATAACACCATGAGTTGTTCCATCGTGATCTGTGAACGACCATGAGCTGAGAAATGTCTAATCCAATAAGAAGTGAGGAAAGCTGATCTCCCCCTTGATGTATTGTCTTAAAAGGAGTTTTTTTTAGTGAAGAAGGCAGAGTTCTGCGACGAGTCGACCAGAATTGTTGTCCCCCCTTCTCTGAAAGCATTGAATAAGCCGGAGTTTTCAGCCTGTTTTCAAAGAGAGACCTTCTTGTGGTTCCGTGATTCACTCCGCGTGAAAATTAAGGTCTGCCGCAAACCGGGTGTTTAGATTCGTCGTAAACTCATTTTTCCGAACTTGGACTGAACTGCACTTGTATATCTAATTTATATCCGTAATATTCACTTTTTTTGTAAATAGAGTTCTGTATATATATGTGTGTGTGTGTATAATGCTTGTAAACAAACTTTAAAGTTTTCGGAATCTGAAAGTGGAAGTTCATGAACCTGAAAGTGGCCCTCTTCTTGAAGCTATTTTAAGTCTCGTATAGGTCGAGTCGTTACAATATTTTATATATTCAATAGATGTATATGATTCGGATTCAGGCCCAAGGTGCTCATTTAAAATTTTGGATTCAGGCTCAGTTGGAAAAAGATATTGAATCGATTTAACAGAGAAACTGAAAAATCAAAAAGTAGGGATATCTTCTGAAATACATGAATCTACTTAATCACTACAATATCAAACAATCCCCACCCCTTCCAAACAAAATAACAGGCTAAACTCTTTCTAAAGCTAGCCAGGCTATTTTATAGAATGAGCTCATTCGACATCCGCAAATTGCAGAACTATTTTGCTGCAGCCGAGGAGGAGGAAGGGGCGCCTCGAATATTTTTGCGACCCATGAGATTTATCACACTTTAAAAAAAATATTTATTTTATAATGGCCAAAGTAGTGAAAACCAATATATTAAAAAATACATTATGTGTGCATCCATATGATCAAAAATTAACTGTCGAAATTATGAGAAACAAATTAACTTTAACTTATTTAACTGTTTAAAATAACATTCTTGCGAATATATGACAAATATTGCCTGTTTTATTGATGAGTTTACAGTTATGAGTTCACAGAATAATTAAATTATATTCTGCGAACTCATGACGCGCGTCTTGGAACATCCAATATAGCAGGTTCTATGTTTCACTTTAAGTAACCTCAGTGATGTAGCAACTATCCCTAGATACGCACAGTTGATAGCAGAACAAACCAGACTCTTAGTCCAAGTTGTTAGCGCTTTTGATTCAACTTACACTCGTGAATAGTTTTTTTTTTTTTTTTTTTTTTATGATATTGACTAAACGTAAAACATACTCAAACATATAGTAATGAACACAACACTAATTACGATGTGCAAATACCCAAATTGAGATCTATTTGCAAAAGCTAAGTGAATGAGTCGAGAAACAAATATCGCACTAGTAAAATAAATATTTTTTAATGATTTGTTTTATTTCATTTATACTTATATATTTCTTTATATTTCATTTTTAATGTTATATATTTCTTTACAATGTGCGTTTAGTTTCACAATTATTATAATATCTATGTTTACATGTAGCCAACGGCCGTACCATGCTGAATATACCGGTTCTCGTTAGATCACCGAAGTCAAGCATCATTGGGTGGGTGACCACCTGGGAACACCGCGTGCCGTTGGCAAATTTGGGACCTGAATGGCCGAGTGTCTAGCGCTCTGGCGCTCGGTGCCACAGGTTTCGGGTTCGAATCCCGGCGGTGCCATGGATGTTTGTAGTGGTTCGGAATCCACTTTAAGCTGTAGGTCCCGGTCTCCTATGACTGTAAGAGCGTCACGGAGCCAAAGTCAGACTTCTACCTACGGGTGCTCCATCACAACAGAAGCTGCTTCCTTACCCTTCATTCATGAGTACGTATGGGCTTGGCCCAGCCAAGTGGGATAAGAAACAACAACAAAAACATGTTTACATGTAAGAATAATAGTAAACACAAAAATAATATTATGTTGAAATTTTTCACTCAAAAATGCCTCTAGTGGGTCTAAATTTAATATAAGGATATATAAATTTATAAGCGGCCCGCGGAGTTACGATATATTTCCAAAGTGGCTCGCAATATCATTTGGGTTGGCCACCCCTGCTGAAGCCAATAAAAAAGTTTTTTTTTTAAAATTAAATCGATAAAAATAGCCGGTAAAGATTGATGTTATTTCTTAAACGCAATCGGACCATATCATTACGAAAACCCGAAAGCATATATCCTGACACTGCTTTTAACAAGAAGGAAATAACATGAGGGAACAAGAGAAAAAATGGAAATATCCTGGAAAAGGAAAAATGGCATTAAAAATGTTCGTGCTTACAATGTAGCAAGAACTTATGTATATATTCCAGAAACAATGTTCTATGCATTAATATTAGCACATTACAGTCATACCGAAGATTTCACTTTATGTTCGCTTTTTTTTTCTTCATTTATTAAATAATAATCTGTATTTTAGTTGATATTTTATTTTTTATTATTTTCATGTAACTATATGCATTTTAAATTCCAAAAAGGATCAACTTATATTAATACTGACATTTTTCTTTATAAATATAATATTTTTAACTAAGAAAAGTATTTTTACTTCTTATTCAAAAAATTTCACTCCGAAACGGCATGAGCGATTTTTCTCGACTTAATGCACATGAGGGGGAAAAGTACATAACAAAGGAAAATGACTTTTTTTATTAATCGAGAATTTTTAGAAATTCATCAGAAACATAATTTGTAAAAGATATAAAGAATTATATTTTATTTAATTTTAGAAATATCCAAAACGTTAAAATTATTTTGGTTCTAACTTATTAGTTTGTGTTCGTTTCTAAGTGATAATATCTCTTTTGTTAAAATTTTATAAAATTAAATGTTTTTCTCACCAATTCTGATAATTTCATTTTACTTGCATTCAGAAATCTTTTTTTTTTTAATATAAAGTAATAAATTAATGTTTTTAATAATTCGTTTCAGTTAAAAATCACCTTATAATGCTGTAATCAATCCTAAAGTGATTTAAGAAATAATATATTTTTAATTTAGAATTATATGATGGGGCCTGATGGCTGAATGGCTAGCGCTCTGGCGTTCGGTACAACAGGTATCGGGTTCAAATCCCGGCTTTACCCATGGGTGTTGTAGTGGTTCGGAATCCACTTTAAGCTGTAGGTCCCGGTCCTAATAGGATCGTAGAGCGCTACGGGGGCATTGTTACTCCGCGTCCGCACAAAGTGAGAAACATCGGTGCAGCCCTTATGGCGAAAGATCAACGGTCTATTTGACAGCTGCATTAGAAGAAAAAAAAATTTAGAAATATATTATTTATTGCATCACATTTGAAATTCTTTAATTTGATGTCATTAAAGATTAGATTTTTATATTTTTACACATAAAATATATCGGTATTATTTTAGTGAGCGGGGTATTTCGTGTTCTTGGCCACTTTCAATTTTGGACATTTTCACTGAGATTAATAATTTTTTTAAGAATGCCGTTATGCGCTTTGTTCTTACATTTTTAATACGCTTTTATTAGCTTCACTTGTATGTTTGTATGTATGTTTGTATGTAACTCACTTTTTGGGCTCGATGTTGGGACTGATGGCGCCATCTACTGGCGAGTCAGTCAACTGATCAAACCCTACTTATTTTGTATAATTATTTTGTTTAATCTTAATTCCTTTTTGTTTTATTTTACTTTTATCTTAAAAATTCTCATTTTTTTTTTTTTAACTTTAACCTTTTTTATTTTTTGGGCATCGTCAACGAACTCTTAATTGTACCGATAGCTTTAGCTTTTGATCTCATGCTTTAATTGTTCTCAAGCAGATGTTTTTCCTAAATTTTAAATTCATTTATTTATTTTTTAATTACTTCTATTCATTAATTTAAGAAACTACAATTTATGCTAATGTTTCAATTAATTTAAGATGTGGAGGTTTTGTGATTCTTAAAACCACCAAGGAACATCATAACCGGTACGCCCGTTGCCCAGCTTTCTTTCACCCCGGGTAGAAATTCAGTAATATCCGAGCTCGAATTGCGCTCTTCCTATTGGCCGAAAATTTCCGTGGCTAAAAAGAGGCGGATCTCAAAGGCATAGGAGTGCGATCATGTCGAATTGCGCTCTTCCTATTGGCCGAAAATTTCGGTGGGCAAAAAGTATATAAACTTAGCGGATAATCGGCCAAGGTACCGTCTCTGCATAATTTGCCCCAGACCTAGACTTTAGTCATCCTTTCTAGCAGCAATTACTCTACTTTGTAGTATATTCCAACTTTTTATATTATTCTTTTTTTTTTTGCTTATATTAATTGTATTGTACTTAGCTTTTTTAGTATTTTTTCATTAATTTTTATTTGCATTGTATTTATCTTTTTGTATTTCTCATAAACTTTTAAATTTGTATTTTGTAGCAAATGATAAATGTAATTAATGTATTTTGTAGCAAATGATAAATGTATTGTAATAAATGTATTTTGCAGCAAATGATAAATGTATTGTAATAAATGTATTTTGTAGCAAATGATAAACGATTTGTATTAAAAATAAAAAATAAATTATAGTTTAAAAAAACTAAAAAAAAAACACGCTTTTAGAGTTAATCAGACTAAAAAGTAAAAAATAAATTAATAGTTTAAAAAAACTAAAAAATACGCTTTTAGAGTTAATCTATCTAAAAAGTAAAAAATAATTGTTAACATAAGAATAAAATGACTGACGAGAAAATGAATGTCACTGTTCTAAAAGCGTGGGGTGCTCAATATCAATGGTTATAAATTTTCACTAGTTTCACTCAGAAATGCAGAGTTAATTTTAAAATGTCATACAAGCACCCCACGCTTTTAGAACAGTGACATTCATTTTCTCGTCAGTCATTTTATTCTTATGTTAACAATTATTTTTTACTTTTTAGATAGATTAACTCTAAAAGCGTATTTTTTAGTTTTTTTAAACTATTAATTTATTTGTATTATTATTTCCAATGGCAAGAGAAAATGACAAACTCTTACAAGATCAAAACAGAAGAAAACAATAAGATAAAAAAGTCAATGCCGCATCATCAAAGCTCTAGCACTCCAACATCTTTTCACCTCGGAGTCCCCATGCTATGTCGAGCATTCTGCTCTAGGGTGCCTGTCCATGATCTCGTTGGCAACTGGGTACCGATTACGGAGTACCAACAGGGGATATACCCCTTAAACCTCCTCATCTTAATTCATAAATATGCTTTAAATGTTAATTGGCTGCTTGATTAATGTTAGTGGAAATACAAGATAAAGTTTCTAAAAATTCAAGTTAAATGGTACTCAAAAAAAAAGATAAAAATACTAATAGTAAATAAAAGTAAGATACAAAATAAATGAAATTAAAATTAAATTTTAATTCAGTACAATTAGGGACCAGTTGTCGATGCCAAGATAATTAAAAGTAAACAGAGTCTTATAGCTCATTGAACCAAGTAAACAGGGATTATGCTGAACGGTGACCATGATCTCGTCTTTCCCATAGAACGGGCAATTTGGTCTATGAAAAGTGCCAATGCGGTGCATATGGCTCGCCAAACAGTCATGGCAAAGCAAGTCTAAATTCCAAGATAGCTTTTTTCCGAGGTTTGTCTGGAATACCCTGCTCCAAAATGGTCCTCCAACTCCTCGAGGAGATACGAACAGTGAGCAATGCCTTCCCTCTGGTTCAAATCCCGGCTTGCCCATGGGTGTTTGTAGTGGTTCGGAATCCACTTTAAACCGTAGGTTCCTGTCCTAATAGGATAGTAGAGCGTTGCGGGGGCATTGTTACTCCGCGTCCGTAGATTATTTCCAAGTTACAACACCCCCTGGGTTCTGCAAAGTGAGTAATGTCTGTGCAGCGCTTGTCTTAAGGCATCAAAGACAATTGTCTAAGTGGTTGCCAACTGCATTAGAACTAAAATAATAATAATAATAATCTTTGAAGTATCAATCTTTCCAATTCCTAATTGGTATATAAGTATTCGGAGATATGCCATTTCAAGTTGTTGTTTTTATAAATAAGTATTTTTTAATAATATTTAAATACAATATAGTATTATAATAAGACCTTCATTTAACAGAGGATTCTTCCGTTGATGGTGCCACGGATTTTGTCACCAGTTGGTGACAATCTAGAAAAGCAATAAACAGTTAAAATATGGCAACCCTATTTGGGTTATGTTTTTATAGTAACTCTAAAAGAAGGGGGAAATGGGGGCTGTCATTAGTCGTTAGTGTTGTTATTTGTTCGCTCTGGTGCTTCGTTCGTTCTACTTTTTTCTATTACTTTAGTATACATATATTTCAAATAAGTATTAATTAGTGAATTAATTAGTAATAATTAACTAGAGAATTAATTAGTAGTAATTAGTAATAATTAACTACATAATTATTTAGTAGTAATTAGTTAGATATTCTGGCAGACATATTGTGTATTTTCTCAGCGTAGATTCGTTCTTTACTTTACTTTCATTTTTTATGTACGTTATGATATATACTTGTAGATTGATCTACTATAAGTAATAATTTATTTATTTACTGTTAATGAACTGTTTATTCATTTACTTTTAATTAATCTTAATTTCTTTTAATTAATAGAATGCTTCCACTCCTTGTTGCATTCAAAAGAAT